GTTCTACAGGAAAACAAAATAATATCCGAAAGATAAAGACAAATTGCCTAGGGCTTTACTATTTTTGGTGTAAGCAAGTAGTGATAGAAGATACTGAAGATGTGTTTAATGTTACTAACTAACTGCAACTAGAAGATCTTAGGATTGATGTAAGTAAAACTCTTTGGATGGGACTACACTTTGATGTAGTAAACACGTAGATATACAGAAGTGAATGTTACATTTCTCAAAAAATATAATGAGAATTGGGAGTAGGGTTGGGTGTTGTTGATCAATGATCACATTTAAATATTTTAACCTTTTAGTATCTAATACTAGGGAACTTGGCCGTGCTACGCGCGATCATTAAGGAATCAATATTTCCTCTCCAATCAATTTTAATTAAATGATCACATATTTAAATTATATTATGGAGAGTATTTTAAAATGATGAGAGAAAAGAACACTTAATAAATTTAATATTTTTAAAATAAGGATAGTATATTCTTTATCACAATAAATTATATATTTTGTAAAACAATATATTTTATTTTACCTTCTTAGTAATAACCGACGTTGGAATCATCCAATAAATAGTTTTAAAAAAATTTCCCCGATTAGGTAAGAACACAAAATCTTTTTATTAAAAAATGAGAATACACATGTTAGTAGAATGAAAATTAAAATCAGAAAGGAAAATATTTTCAAAATAAAAATAAATAAAATATAAGGATAAAAATTAATTGATAAAAGCTTTTACCTTTCTTAGCAAAATAATGATGTTAGAATCATCAAGTAAATAGTTACAAATTCAATTTCAGATTTGTCACCTTCTTCCCAGTTAGGTAAGAACATGTTTTCCTTATTCTAATAGTTTTCCTACTTTTTTTCAACTCCACCGTCCTCTACTTCCTCTTCTTTCCTGTTTCTTTTTGCATTATAAAAATCTTTATTCTTTTAATGAAAAATCCATAACCTAAAAAAAACTTTACACAAATGTATCTGTCATCAACTAATCACAAAATTAGACTTGAAAATGTCTTTTTGTCTCGTTTTGACTCGATAAGAAATTTAAGAAAGTTATTTTTTTTTAATTCTATAATCTTAAATTAAAGATATATATAATGTACCAAAAAGGGAAAGAGACATTTATTTTTTGAAATAGATTAAAAAAAATATAAGACAAACAAATTAAAAGGAAGGAGTATAAGTTATTACATACCCTCACAGGTAAAAAATTATGGTACAATAAAACAAAGCAATAACAAATAAGTGAAATATGCAAAAATCTATTGAATATTGTCATTCTTGTTTTATTGCGTAAGCAGATGATTTGTGTCCGCTCTGAAAAAATGCTAGAACTTCCTGCACCAAATATTCACAAATAAGTAGCAGCTGCACCACCAATAAAATGACCTACTAAAACATGTACTAAGAACACCTAAAAATTTATGCCTTTACACTTAAGTAGACAATATGCTCCATCATCCGTTCATGTTCCTAATCAAACCTCCAATACAATCATGAAAATCAAATGTCACGACATAAATAATTAAGAAATTTGAAAACAATTAGGTTAGAACACATATGTCTCTTTAAATAAGGAGTAATATTATGAATAAATAAGTAACCAATAAAATTATAATCCATCAATTACGCACCATAAAGCCAGGAAAAAAATTTATTGTAAAACTTAAAGGTAACAAAAGTTCAACGACCACGTTTGATTCTTGAAATGGAAGGTTCAAATTTTCTCCTTCATCAAATTCAAAGAAGTCATACCTTACAAAGATACACTTTTGCAGCATAACCGACAAATTCTTTTTGAAGCAATTCACATGATTTTTCTATGACCATTTCATCGAACATCAAAAGTAATTTTTTCTCCACAATTTAACACCACTTGGATTCAATCCTCCAGTAATATGTTTGTAATAGTTGGGAAGATATGTGGTGATCATTTTAAATGACCATTTATAAACATATTTAGATGGAGCAATGTAGAAAAATCATGAAATTACAAATCAAAATGAAATCCATACAATGAAAAACGCATGTAATAAAGAGAAAATACATAGAGTCCACCCTGAACTAATACTCTTTTTGCAAAGAGACACTTAAACTTTGCGGGGGTCCTAACACCCCCCTAAACAATTTGAAAGTAATAACATTGCCTCATTTTTTGATTAAACCCAGTTGTGAGAAAAGATGTGATTTTCACGCCCCAACTTCAAATTGCCACGTGTTAAATGTCATAAATTATAAAAAATAAATATGAAAAAAGAATTTTCTTTATTATAAATAAAGTAACCCCCCCCCCCTCCAACACCTCTCCATTTCTATCTACCTCTCCCCTTTCCCTAACCTTCTTCATCAACTAAAAAAAAGACAATTAACTTCAATTATAAATGGTAAACAAAAATCAATCTGTTATTTTTATGCTATTATCATTGTAATTTTAGGAAAACAATCATCATTTTATTCTATTCCTCTATTTTTGGAACTATACAAATACTTCTATTAGCAAGAGGCGTTTCGTCTCAAATGGTTGAAGCAACCATGGCTAACCACCATTATTCTGCCATTATCGCCGGTTCTATTAGCAAGAGGCGTTTCGTCTCAAATGGTTGAAGCAACCATGGCTAACCACCATTAATTTGCCATTATCGCTGGAAAATGCTTTTTCATCAGATAAAATGGTGACTAACAATGACCTTCTTTCTCTTCATTTTTCTTTTCACTTTTGTTATCTTTTCATCATCTCCGTCAAAAATATCAAATATTGACGATGATAAATTGTACCATCACAATGACGAAGAAGATAGGAGAAGCAAATGACGAGTCCAGAATTGAGGATGACTTAACGGAGTACTCGTCTTGTGACAGTGAATCAAACTTCGAGAAATACTACAGTGCTAACTCGGCCATAGACACTCCAACAAGCTTCAATAGTTGTTAATGGAGTTTGAATTGATTTGGGGAAGATGGATCTTTATTTTCTTTAAAAAAAAGAAATCAATTTGAAATGCCACATGGCTTTTTTATATTGGTTAGAGGTTGTTTTTTAAACTACTCACGCGCTTTTGCAATGTGAAAATACAACAGGTGCAAAAATAAGTGAAAATGATGTATTAAGTTTGGTTGAAAGTAGTTTAGTGGGAGTAATAGGACCTTCACAAAGTTCAAGTGTCTTTTTACAAAATAGATCTTATTTTAATGAGGTAATTATGTATTTTCTCTGTAATAAACAATGGTAAGAACTATATAAATCCACTTAGATTAGATGAAAAATAATTGGAAAGGAAATAATGCTTCCATATATAGTACATGTGTGAAATGACTAAATAATTGAAAAGAAAAAAATGCTTCCATATATATAGTACATGTGTGAAATGACTGACAACTTGAATTGTCAAAATAATTGGAAGATCGTGGAAGGGAGCCGTTTTGGAAAAGTAAATAGTATAGTTAGTGAGGATAGCCGTTTTGGAAAAAGGAGCGTCTGTGGGTTCGGTTACGGTTCATTTAATAATAAGTATAATTTATGTAGAAATAGTTAGTAAAAAATGCAAAAAGATGAGAAAAAAAGGAAAATAGAAATGCTGGCTTTTTAGCTATGCCACATCAGCTGGTCAATGATTCTGCTTTATATATATATATATATTTGATTTGGTCCTTATTTTATTTTTCATTTGCACCAAAAAATTATTTTAAAAACATTGAAGTTAATCGAATTGAAGTAAAAAAAATCAAATAGAAGAGAGAGAGAGAGAGAGAGAGAGAGTAAAGTGATTGGTTGGACGAATCAAATTAATTTGGTTTGGTGTTTGATGCAAACTTTTTCAAAATCAAAAACTAAATAATCAAATCGAACCAAAGAATCAACGTTCACCCCTAGTAAAAAAACCAAATAAATATATAGTAATATATTTATGATTACTGTATGTATATCCACCAGGGCTGTAATTTTTTTTATCATCTAATCATTAAATGTGTATTTTTGATAATTTTTATACTATAAGTATATAGAATTTAAATTCCGATCTTCTTGTCATATGACATAATTTTAATTTTTTTTGTTTGGGGTTGCTTGATGCAATTCACATCCAATCTTATATCGTAACAAGTTCTTGAATTAATTTCATATGATCCATAAAGTGCAACAATTCTTCATGATTTCATGGGATACGGTCATGAAAACCTTATTTCTTTACCTTTTTTTGGCGGGGGAGGGAGAGGAGGGGTTCATTGAATGTTCAATATCATATAAACTTAAAACTTTAGTTAAAGAAGACGCAATCTCATCTATGACATCATATTCTTAAATGATCTTAACCACTTTACATGCCTAGAATTTCACATGCAAGAGTCATGCTCATTCATTTTGTTACTTCTACTAATTAATTAAAAGCATATAAACTTTCATTTTTAGATATGCTTTTGTTGTAAAGATTAATTAAAGTCGAGTAGATTTTAATATCAGTACTTAACAGTTATTAGTTAAGATTAATTTTGTTTGATATCCAAATTTAATACTGTTTTCTATGAACCTAGAAGCTAAAAGAAAGACTAGAACAACACCTCACCATTAGTATGCCTTTGTCGAAATTTTATCTCATCTTCTCCCTTATTTCAATACCGCTCAAAAAGTTTAAAATATAAATAATTATAATTCAATAAGAAAAACAAGCATATCATAGTGTTATCACACCATTGACAAAACCAACACAAAATTAAGAGAGTAGGTGCTGATCCCAATTTAAATTGGCTTCTTGATTTATAAACTAAATAACGAAATTCTATTAATTCTCATTTTTTCACAAAGTCTTTTGCTTGTATTGATTCAACCATATTTTTCCAAAATTAAATGGTAAATTATACTCTCTTTCCTCATCACAATCTGAGATTTTCTTTTCTTCAATAAAAAAAATAAACAAATAAATAAATAAATATAAACAGAAAGTATTTATTTATATAAGTTTTTTTTTTCTTTTCAACTTTTTACAGAAACTGTTCTTAAAATCAGAAGGAACATTCATATTATAGTATCTTGAGTTCTTGATTAAATTTACATTTTCATCTTTTGCGTCTTCATAGATCTTCTAAATTTCTACTATTTCTTTTGATTCTGCCTCAAAGTGCGAATCTTTTATACTGGGTTTTGAATCTTTTGTTTCCATTTTGAATTCTAGGGTTAAATTTTTCCCAATGCCCTTCTTGATTCTGGTTTAAAAGTCAAAACTTTATAATGGGTGTTGAATAATATTTCCCATTTTGAATAATAATACAAGATTTTTGAATATGGAGAAATGGGTATGTTTGTAATGTTGTAAAGTTGTGATTTTTAGAATGAATTGTTGGCAATGAGGAGTGAAGAAGAGGAGGAGGGAAAACAATGGAGAGTGTGGTACAAGTGAAGAGTGAAAGGGTACAACAATCTATACAAGGGGTAGTGATTCAGAGGACTAGGTTGAAACTGTGGTTTATTCCTGTTTTTGCTAGCATTTTGGTATGGGCCTGTTTGGTTCAGCTTTGGCATATGCGCTTGCTTTCAGGTTTCACTCGTGTAACTAAAGTATCGGTTCGTGTTGATGAGACTATGCATTCAACTACACCTAGTGAGTCTCTATTTGACAGAATCTTGAATTTTGATGTTGTTATGTGATTCTCAACAGGTTTGTCTTTTATTTGTTATGTGATTACTTTTGAGTAAATTCACTTTTATTTGTTTTGTATGAATAACAAGTCACTTTTGTTTATTCCGTATCAATAAAGTCACTTTCACTTAACTAGTCATTTGCCTGAATCGTGATGTTGTTATGTGATTCTCAATAAGTTTGTCTTATTTGGTTACTTTGAGTAAATTCATTTTTTTTTGTAGCACTTAAGTCGCTTTTGTTTATTTCGTATCAATAAAGTCACTTTTGTTTGTTTTGTATCAATAGTCATTTAACTAGTCATTTGTTTCTCCGTAAGTTAGATTAAATGACCGGAAAATTGTCATTAGTAATGTGTTCTCTATAAAATCACCGGAAGGCTTACTCTTTCATTGCACTTAATAGATAATTGTATCCATTCTGGCTCTAGTTAACAATAGATAGTCTTCAAAATTTATCAAATTAACCAGCATATTTTTCCACTTGAACAAAATTATAAGACTAGCAGAAAAATGAACTTTATCTACCTAATTTTAGAAAGACATACATATATGTGTGTTCTGCATACATAACGTATGTATGCCAATAAGAGAGCATTAAGGCCTGAAGGGGGAATTGGGATCAAGGGCATTAGCAATGGCACCAGTAAAAGGCTCCCAATCTTGAGTTAACATGTTGTCAACAACTTTACTGTCGAGTTAGTTAATGAAGTACGAAAAAGAGTAATTTTGCCGGTGGTTTTATAAAGAAAATTTATTTTATTTTTTTTGAAACTGGTAAGGTTGTATTCTTCAGCATTAAGGGCATGCTGGCCACCACCAAAAAGTGTCAATTACAAACTTCCTATCAAATCTACAATTTGATCTGTATCTACTATACACAACTGTTTACACCAAAAAAGTAGAGATACTATACAATTCCATTTGACCTTGTGTATGGAATTGGATCTATTGTCGAAACATCTACTGTTCCTTTCCTTCCAAACTGACCACCATATACATGATGGTATTAACCTCCACCATCTCTTCTGGCTCTTGGTACTTCCTCTCCTTACCCAGCTCTTCAACACGTTTGATGTACGTTCTGGCATTGTCCAATTCAGATTTGAGATGCTAAGGAACAAATTCCAGATTTGAGCAGTGTAATTACAGTGCAAGAAGAGGTGGCTGTTAGTTTCACTTGTCAAATTGCATAAAAAACACCTAGGGACCAGCTGTCTACCCTTCTTCTGAAGTACTTCTTGTGTTAAACAAGCTCTCTTTATCACTAGCCAAGTGAAGCATTTCACTTTTGTAGGAATATCCCCCTTCCAAAAATAGTTCCAGAGGTGTTTTGGTCTCCCTGCCATCACCTGGAGACCTCTTCTGTAAGCACTGTTGGCTGAGAAGAGGCCATCTTTGTTGTGCTTCCACAACATCCTGTCTGTGGCATTTGCGTTGATGGTCACTCCGCCTAGCATCCCTAATATCTCAGCCACCCTTTCCACCTCCCAATCATTGAGAAGTCTTCTAAAAACTAGATCCCAGCCCTGTTCAGTCCAGCAATCACCAACATTGGCATCAGGATTTCCACAAATTTGAAAGAGAACTGGAAAGAGATCTCTAAGAGGGGATTGGTATATCCAAACATCCTTCCAAAATTTTGTTTTAGTGCCACTTCCCACCTTGATATATAAATTTGTCTCCATTTGTGACCACAAGTTTCTAATTGATCTCCATGCACCCACACCATAAGGTTCTGTTGTGATCTCTGTACACCAAGGGTTTAACTCACCATATTTAGCTATGATCACCTCTTTCCAGAGGGCATTTCTCTCTTCAGTGTACCTCCACAACCACTTCTTCAATAGGCTCTCATTCTGTAGTTTCAAGTTCTTAATTCCCAGCCCCCCTCTGTCTTTGCTAAGTAGAGCAGTTTCCCAGTTTACTAAGCTATAGCCTTTTCCATCCTTGTTGCCTTGCCATAAGAATTTTCTCCTTAGCTTATCCAGATTTTCCACTACTTTTCCTGGGATTGGGAATAGAGACATCACATAAGTGTGCAGAGAATCAAGAACAGAGTTTATTAGGATCAATCGTCCTCCAAGTGAAAGATATTGAGCCTTCCATCCAGAAAGCTTCTTTTCAGTTTTCTCCAAAATACTATCCCATATTTCCAAGGCTTTGTGATTGTTACCCAATGGCATGCCTAGATAGGTGGTAGGCAGCTTCCCAACACTACACCCTAGTATGCCTGCCATCTCTTTTAACTGAGGGTAGTTTTAGGATAGTGAATTCTGTTTAGTTTGTGTAAATACATTGTTCTTGTTCCTATTAAAAACTTGTAAAATAATGAAACAATAGAATGGTGTAAGAACAGAAAATAGTCAGTTGTTACACGAAGACTGGTTCTTGAATTTGACAGCTGATGAACTTCATATACTCTCCGCAGATATCTGATGAATATACATATGCTCCATTTCGTCTAATCTTATTTCATCTAGTTTTGTTTTGTCTACTTCAGTTATTCATTATAAGAGTTTCTTTAAATCCACTTTAGTGTTTCAGGTTTAGCTTAAAAGAGTTTTATCCCAAACCCCTGACCTGCGTGATTTTTTTAAAAAAATATTAGAAACCGCCCATACCCGCAAAAGCTCTAACCTGCACTGCCCTCAAATGCTGTAACCCGCCCCACCCTGCACCATTGCCAACCCTAAAAGTAACTGCTAGGAGTGGGAACTTCTTAATAGTGTTATTCAGTTGTTCAGCTACCTAGAAGGTAACAAATGGAGAGAGAGGTACTAGATCCCTTGAGAGGGACGAAGGTTTGCAAAGGGATTTGCACAATTTAATCAAGAGACAAAGCTCTCGCAAATGATAAGCAAAAGTGGCCATGATAAATGATTTGGAAAACTAAGGTTCCCCAAGGATCTTGTCTCAATAAATTGCATGCTTTACACAAGATAATCCTTTATTAGAAGGGGTTAGATACAATGTGTAACAGATGTTTTATGTTGAAAAGAGCTGGAGGTTGTCTATAATTTATCTTGTGTCTGTACAATTGCAACGAAGATATGGAAATGTGTCTCAACCTCTTTGAAGTTAAGTGGGTGATACTAGGACTTGAAATTAAATCCTCTGAAGCTGGAAAGGGAGGAAAATTTTAAAAAAATTAGTATGCCATGCGGTTGTGCATCATCCTGATTATTTGTAGAGCGAGGGGAATGACAGTTGTTCTGAAGGATGTAGAGAACATGTGTAGGATCAAAATTAGTCCAGTCTATATTATCCGTCTTGAAATGATATAGAAAACATTTTAGATTTTATTAGCTCCCTGCTTATCTAGTAAGAATCTACCTTTTTACATTTTCAAATTATTTGTAATCAGCCCTCTCTTTAGTGCAAGGCATTAATTAAAATAACAATGCCTTTCTTAAATCCCTCAGTAGTATTCATTTTTACCACCTTCTTTTCTGATGTAAAATATGAATACCACAATTAAAAAAATCGATTGGAATGTGTGAAAAAGCCTCATACCATTCCATCCTTCCACAAGGGTAAATATCTTATTTTGCTGTTGCAGAAGTATACACGTATTTTCTCTGAAGTTCTTATTGAGTCAACTGATGCTGTCAGATGAAATATTCTCAACCTCAAGGAGATGGAATGGGAAATACTTTCTAGAATAATTGTATAAAAAAAGAAATGCTTTCTAGATGAGAAATGCATTAGTAGTTATATTAAATGAATATGAAGAAGTGTATTATCTTAATCAGTTTTCTTTTGCTACTGCGCCAACAAACCATGTTTTCATGAAAATGCTACTACTCATCTTATAAGTGTAGCATTTATGAAAAGAGGAAACCTTTGAATCCTTCTTTGCAAATCCAAACTCTGCTTCTGCTATACATTACAATGAGTAGGAACTATACAAAACTGAGTCATAACTCCATTAATTTCTCATACCATGCAGGAAATTATACAAGTAATGGGTTTCTTCAAGTGTCCTGCAATGGTGGTTTGAACCAAATGCGTGCGGCGGTAGGTCTTTTTCCCGCTTTCTCTTTGTATATCAATTTTCTCTTTTTGGCATTGAGGAAGTTGGAAATTGTACAAGTGCATTCAAATTGAATTAGACCCACAAAATTTGGATACAAACTCCTAACCTAATAGATTCAGCCAATTTGAATGTAGATTTGTGACATGGTGACTGTTGCACGGCTTTTAAATTTAACGCTGGTTGTCCCAGAGCTTGATAAATCATCATTCTGGGCAGATCCTAGGTAACTCTGGTGTTATGCAACTGCTGTTTCTTTGTCCTGTTGCTTAGTGATTTATAATAACTGCAGCATATCTTGGCAGCGATTTTGAGGATATTTTTGATGTGAGACACTTCATTGATTCATTAAGAGATGAAGTCAACATAATAAAGAGACTGCCAAAGAAAGTTGCCAGGAGCTATGGAAACCATCCAATAGTAATGCCTCCTGTTAGCTGGTCAAGTGAAAAGTACTACCTGCAACAGGTTGGTCTATTTGTTCTGCAGTTTGTTATTATCATATAATTTGTTAACTGGTAGATGCATGATTGACCTGACCGAACTAGTTGTTCTTCATGGTTGTGCAACAATATTATTGGTCATCATTTGGAAGACCAAGGGTGTTTGGCTAAGCTTACAAGCTGTTTCAACTGATTTATAAGGAATTTTTGGCTTGTATACGCGTTTGGTAAATACCTAAGTGCTTATAAGCCAAAATTAATCATAAGCTGTAAGATGGTCATCCCCAACTTATGGCTTTTCAACTTATAAGCACTCTTAGTTTGACCAAGTTCTTTTACTATTTTATCCTTAGTATTTTTTCTAATTGTCAAAATACCTTTCCTAAAACAAAACCTAGGACTTCCTCTTCACCCCATATCTATCGTTTCTCTTCTTTGCAAAGATACATTTAAATTTTTAATTATCGGTAAAAATTTAAGGGCATTTTAGTTATTTTAACAAAAGACTTGCTTATCAGCATTTTTTTCCAAGTATATTGACTACTTATTTTCTGTTTCATCACTTCTAGCACGTAACTGTAACTGCTTACTTATCAAAATTCACCTAAAACTTATCAGCTAAGCCAAGCAGGCTCCTATACACTTACTTTCACTTCACAAGTCTTGACTAAGTGATGTTGTTGCTATGTGTACATTCATATACTACTTAGACATGTAATCAGTATGTAGTCGAACAATGATTTAGTAGTCATTAAATATTAGTAGCCTTGATTACTGAATATTCCTTCTGTCACACACTGAACATTTACATGTTATTTAACAGTAGAAGATCCTACTCTAATGCGTTTTATATGTATTAACAGATTCTGCCTCTCTTCAGCAAGCATCAGGTTATAAACTTCAACAGGACAGATACTAGGCTAGCAAATAATGGGATCCCTCTTGAGCTTCAGAGACTTAGATGTCAGGTCAATTTTCACGCTCTGAAATTCACACAAAAGATTGAGGCATTGGGACAAAAGTTAGTCCATATGCTTAAGCAGAGAGGACCATTTGTAGCATTGCATTTACGGTATGAGATGGATATGTTGGCTTTCTCTGGTTGTACTGAAGGCTGCACAGAGGAGGAAGCAGAGGAGCTCAAACAGTTAAGGTGATTACCAATTGAAGTAACATATTGTATTTACATTACGCTCATGTATCTTTGCTTAGGATAGTAACGTTTATACAGGCATAATAGTTGAATTTAATGTTAGTATATGATGATGTTCAAGTAACATCATTTATTTGGTCATGCTCAAGTCATGATCAGATTAGTAATATCTGGCACCACAAGGATTGTCTAAAGAATAGGTGTTTCCTCTCTTACCTAGTTAGGTCCATTGGCTTTTATCTTTCTTTTCTTTTTGGATAAACTAATGATTATCTAATTTGAAACTCCATAAAAAGTGATATGACATAGACAAGGGACACTACAAGAGTGCCAAAATCAGTTTGGACTTATTCCTGTTAGATCTACACCATCCGTTATGGCTATACTCTTGCAAAGAACATTGATGGAAATTTATCATCAGAAGAATAAAAATTTACACAGGTGACCTAGAGAAAGTGTATGATAGAGTGCCAAGAAAGAGTCCTTTGATGGGTATTTTGTGAGCATTGAAGATGAAAAGAATTCATACTAAATATATAAATGCCATAAAGGAATATGTATGAATGAATTGTTAGTGGTGTGAGAGCAGTAGTATTAGATGCAAAGTTATTTCTCATAACCGTGGGTTTACACTAGGGATCGACATTGACTACATACCTTTTTATCTTGGTCATGGATGAGCTAACTAGCATTATATTGGAGGTCCCTTGGTGTATTCTATTTGCAGTTGATATTATGGTTATTGACAAAACTAATGAATGTGTCAACCAAAAGCTTGAACTATAGAGAAGTACTTTGAGAGAGTAAGGGGTCATTTGTTCATAAGGTAGGTTATTCCAGTATTAAGTTTGAGATTAAATTTATACTTTGTTTGGTTGAAGGTATATCCCAAACTTAGTCTTCGATATCCCACCTTTCTCCGTCGAACTTGGTGTTATTTTATCCTACCTCCCAGGTGGGATAAATTAGTCCAAGGATTATAATCCCAGGACTATAATTTCGAGATAACTTAGTATGTGAACCAAACTAACCCTGATGAGTCGTTTGATTTGAATACAAGTTATGATGGGATTATTTATGATGAGTTAAGTTATGCTGGGATTAGTTACGATGGGATAAGTTATGTTGAGATTATTTCTTATTAAGTGTTTGATTTGTTGTATTCAAAATAATATGCATTGCATAAATTTTTAAGAACAAGTTGTTTGTTTACGAAAATGCCCTTCATGAGTGTGAAAAAAGTAATGTATAAAAAGGGTTTAAAGGAATATCTTTGTCATTTGTCTATTTTATCCTGGGATAAGTTATCCTAGGCTTACTATACCACCCAAGGGAGGGATAACTTATCCCGGTACTAATTATTAATCCCGGACTTGCCAAAGAAACAACAAATTAAGTGGCACTATAATTTGATCTCAGGACTATTTGGTGTTATCCTTTACACCAAACCACCCCTGAGGGTTTTAAGATAAGTTGAGGTAAAAATGAAGGTGAAACTGCAGGATTCTTGCATAAAAAGAGTGAAATTGAGGTGAGATTAGGTGGGATTGCATACTTAATCACAAACAATTCAAATATCGAAGTTTGATGTTAATGAGATTTGGTATCATAGGTGAAGATGTTACAAACACATTCAAAATAGTTTGGTTGAAATATGAAGTGTAATCGTTATGTTATATGATATAATGGTACTTATGAAATTAAAGGATAAGAGATCAAAAATGTTTTGCCGAGGCTCAAGTAGAAGAAGGGGTACTTGAACAGAGGGTCGTCTCAGTCCATAAAGATCTGTCTTTGAGAATGGTTGTAGGACCATCAGTGTTGCATGGAGCGAATGTTGGGCCTCTAAAATCCACATATATCCATAAGATGTGTGACTATCGCAGTAATGAAGTCATTAAGATGGATGTGCGGACTACATTCAACAGAAGGTGCAAGTAGCACACATAGATGATTATATGAGAGAAAGTAGCTTGAGGTAGTTTATTTATGTCCTAACTCCAACATGGAGCTCCAGATGCACCGGTTTCGTGAGTGTAGAACCATGATGAGTGAAGACATCTTAGCAGGAAATGTGGTTCTTGTTACCCACCCTTCCTCCTCTACTTTGAGAATTGTGTTAACAAAGAGTGGGAAGAGGTCTCATATGAAATCACACTCTTACTTGAGCAATGCAGGAGACTAGGGAATGGGTCGAATAAACTCCCTCGGGTCGAAACAATAACAGGCGACGACATACTTAGATGATGCTTTGCTTGATATTTTCATCTTAGCGATTGAAAGAGGTGTGTCTGGCTATGTTATAGAAAGAGAAGACGGAAGCATCGAATGCCAAAGAGGTGGATTGACAAGGAAGGAATGAAAATCGTCAAGGATGCCTTCTTTGGTAGCGGAACTAAGGGATAAATAACAATACTGATTCTCTAAGCTAGTTTGGATTTCCAATGTTTTGAGAAATTGGTCAAGATAGATGGCATCACCTTTTTTTGTTCTTTCTTACCAGTTGACAATCTTTGGGATGAGGGAGACGTAAAATCACATGGAAGTTATCCAAAAAAACCCTATGATCTCTTGGAATTCACTAAACCTAGTAAAAAGTTCTTACCATGAAAGTAAAACTTGTGTCCTGGAATGTAAGGGGACTTAATAGTGGGGATAAAAGAAGATTGGTGAAGAGCTTAATTCTCAACTGGAACGCAGACATAGTCTGTCTACAGGAGTCTAAGCTAGAGGGGGAGTTTAAAGATATGATAAAAGAATTATGGGGTGGAAGATGGGTCAAATATGCTCATCTACAAGCTAGTGGCACTAGAGGGGGAATTCTGATGTTATGGGATAGCAGATCATGGAGAGGGGAAGTTCTGGAAATTGGCTCTTACACTCTTACATGTAAATTTGAGGCTCTGTTGCAGGACTATAAGTGTCATATTACAGGAGTATATTCTCCAAATTGCAGATTTGAAAGAGAACATGTATGGGAGGAAATAGGAGCTGTCAGAAGCTTATTTGAGGGACCATGGGCAGTGTGTGGTGACTTCAATGTCACAAGATTTCCAGCTGAGAAGAGAAATTGCAAGAGAAGAACACCAGCAATGATAGATTTTTCAGATTTCATTGAAGACATGGATCTTTTGGATTTACAACTAGAAGGGGGGAGTTTTACCTGGTTTAAAGGAGACAACAATAATGTTGCTTCTAGAATTGATAGGATTCTGATATCTAAGGAGTGGGATGATAGCTTCAGCAAAATTAAACAAGTTGTGTTGCAGAAATTATGCTCAGATCACAATCCAATTGCACTACAATGTGGAGTCTGGGATCACAACAAATCCTATTTCAAGTTCGATAACTGGTGGTTGAATACTGAGGGCTTTGTGGAAAGAGTCAGAGGGTGGTGGGAGTCTTTTGTCTTCGATGGGAAGCCTGATTACATCCTGGGATGTAAATTGAAGACTTTAAAAGGCAAACTGAAGGAGTGGAGCAACACGAGCCTTGGAAATCTAAGAATGCAGAAAGTCCAAATATTAAACGAGTTAGCCATTCTAGATACTGTAATGGAGAATAGGATTTTAACAGAATCAGCGGCAGCTTTGAAGGCAACTCTTCTAATGGATTATGAAGAGCACTTAAAAAATGAAGAGATAGCATGGAGACAAAGATCAAGGGCACTTTGGCTACAAGAGGGAGACAGAAATACCAATTTTTTCCACAAAGTGGCCAATGCGCATAAAAGAAGCAATAATATTGACCAACTGATGATTGAAGATGAACCTGTGATGGATCCGGTGGGAATCAGAGAGGAGATTGTTGGGTTCTATCAGAAGTTATATTCAGAAAACACAAGTTGGAGACCTTCAGTTAGCTTGATCAATTGTCCAATGATCAGAGAAGAGGAAAGAGAAGCTCTACAAGGGGAGTTTGAGGAACAAGAGGTTTTTTCATGTTTGAAGATGTGTGCAATGGACAAAGCTCCTGGTCCAGATGGCTTCACTATGGGGTTTTACATCAAATGCTGGGATGTAGTAAAAAGGGATATCATGGAAACTTTTAAGAACTTCCATTCTCAAGGTGTCTTCGAGAAAAGTTTCAATGCCACATACATTGCTTTGATTCCAAAGAAGAATGGAGCTAAGGAACTGAGAGATTTCAGACCTATCAGTCTCATAGGTAGTGTCTACAAGCTTCTTTCCAATGTGTTGAAGGAAAGATTGAAGAGAGTTATTGATAAGTTGGTAGATATCCAACAGATGGCTTTCATAAAAAACAGACAAATAATAGATGATATCCTAATTGCAAATGAGGTGGTAGATTCCAGAATTAATCAAGGAAAGGCAGGAATTTTGTGCAAATTGGATATCGAGAAGGCATATGACCATGTAAACTGGGAATTTTTGCTAAAAATGCTCTCATGTATGGGTTTTGGAAGGAAGTGGGTTCACTGGGTAAGATATTGCATCTCCACCGTAAGATTCTCAATTCTTATCAATGGATCACCTGAAGGTTTTTTCCCTGCAAACAGGGGTTTGAGGCAGGGTGATCCTTTGTCTCCTTTTCTCTTTATCATAGCCATGAAGGGTCTAAATTACATGATAAAGGTGGCTAGGAATAATGAATGTCTAAGAGGGTTTGAGGTAGTCACAAACCAAAACCCAAGTTTAACTGCCAACATGGAAGTCACACATCTCCAGTATGCTGATGATACCTTAATCTTCTGTGATGCTGAGGAAGGGCAGTTACTGATCCTGAGATCAATTTTAGTGCTTTTTGAGGGAGTTTCTGGACTTCATATCAACTGGAGGAAAAGCCAGCTATTCCCAATCAATGAAGTCCCTAACATGTTGGTTTTGTCTGGAATTCTGGGAAGGGAAGTAGGCTCCTTGCCTACTATGTACCTAGGTATGCCTCTAGGTGCCAAGTCAAAGGCCATGAGCATTTGGAACTCGGTGATTGAAAAGTGTGAGAAAAAGTTAACTAGATGGAAATCTCAGTACATCTCCTTAGGCGGCAGAGTCACTCTCATCAATTCTGTTTTGGATGCTCTCCCAACCTATATGAAGTCTATCTTTCCCATCCCTGATGGAGTGATAGAAAGTTTAGACAAGATTAGGAGAGATTTTCTTTGGAAAGGGAGTGAGGAAAATGTCTCTACTGTTCGACACTTGGTCAAATGGAACGAGGTTCTTTGGGGAAAGAAGCAAGGGGGCTTAGGAGTAAGAAATCTGAAAATACAAAGCAAGGCTCTTAGACTGAAGTGGTTATGGAGATACTCACAAGAGCCTCAAGCATACTGGGGCAAAGTAATTAAAGCTAAATATGGAGATGAGAACAAATGGATGACAAATGAGGTATCTACACCCTATGGTGTAAGTCTATGGAGGTCTATCAGAATCCTTTGGCCTTTTTTGAGAAATAACACAACTGTGAGGGTAGGCAATGGAAGTAAGACCTCATTCTGGGAGGACAAATGGCTGGGACATGCTAGTTTAAAAAATCTTTTCCCTGAACTGTATGTTTTGGCAGTACATCAACAAATGAGTGTAGCTGACAGTTGGACACAACAAGGATGGAACATCCATTTTAGAAGGAATTTTAATGACTGGGAAATTGAAACAGTGACAGAATTTTTCAGAGCTCTGGCAGAGTTCAAAGGGACAAAGAATGAAGTTGATAGATTATGGTGGAACAAAGACAGCAAAGGCATGTATAAGGTGAACATAGCATACAAGTTTTTGAACAAAGGTGGCCAACAACCACCAAATTGGCCATGGAAACAGATCTGGAAAACAAAAACCCTTTCAAGGTGGCATGTTTTAATTGGTTACTGGCAAGAGAAGCAGTCCTGACACAAGAAAATCTCAAGAAGAGGAAGTTCTCTATGTGCTCGAGATGCTATTTGTGTGGAGAAGAGGTTGATACAGTTGGCCATTTATTTTTACAGTGCAGGATAACAACCCAACTTTGGAGGATTTTTATCAGCCTCAGGGGTGTTGTTTGGACTATGCCTAACAGAATCACCCACCTTCTCTACAGTTGGGAAGAGGTAGGTGGGGGAGCTTCAAACAGAGATAGATGGAAGATTGTCCCAGCCTGTATCTGGTGGACAGTTTGGAGAGAGAGAAATGCTAGATGTTTTGAGAGCAAAAGTTGTGATCTTCAGAAGATCGAAGATCAAATTGAACTGTATCAAACTTTTTTGTTTCTGGTGTAAACAGATGTACTTAGAGGATACCGAGTCAATTATTGAGATCCTTTGCTCTATTTAGAATTTAGATTCAGATATCATGTTTTGTTGATAAGTTGTAATTATGGTTTTCAGTACAACCCATGTACTGGTTTTTGTCAATACATACGAATGTTACCTTTCTCAAAAAAAAAAAAGTAGGTCTTAACGGAAGGAAAAAAAAATCTATATATATGATACCAATTAGTTGGGATTAAGTTTTAGTCAGGATCCAAGAATCTGACCTAATGGTCAATAAAGTGTGTTTTCCTTAGAGACCAGTACCAGATACAAGAAACACTACATGACTTTTTCCACTTGCTTATGTCTTTGATGGCGGAGTTACCCGATACCTGTGTTGGGAAGTTTAATAGGTACTCGACATAATAGTTGAGTTGCGCAAACTAGTGCATACACCACCATAATGAGGTTTTAGTCTTATTAGTACGTTACTTAGGGTCCAATGTTTGATAGGAGTTTCTTAGTCTCATTGATCATTTATACGTGAGTGGAAAATGTGGAGGACTTATAATGCTTGAGAAACTAAGTTTTTATATAATGCACGGAAAAAGCTTAATTGGAGTGACATGGGTAGTGAGGATGAGATTGTCGACCTCAACTTACTTAGGATTAGGGTGTAGTGTTGTTGTTAATGTTGTAATGGTAATTTAATTTTTGGCTCCTCATATAAACTCCAAGTTACGACGTTTATCTAGATAGTTCCTTGTCACACATTAATTTAGAATGACTTCCATGCCCAGTAATCTCTATTGTGCATTTATATGATAATACTTGATAATATATTTGACATTGAAGAATAACTTTTTGGTTTTTGTTATGTTCTTTTAAGATCCCTTTGATAGAGGATGTCGAATAATGGCTAACCCAACTCCCCTAACCTAAGCAAAAGAAAAGGAAAACATCAAGAGATAGCCTCCAAAGTTCTCTCGAAAACACACACAAGTGGTAAGACACCAAAAAATTTCTTTAGTGCAAGAATATGTCTAGTATCAATATTTGATCTTATTTTTCAGTTTATTTTTTTTACTTTTGTAACTATTTACATGGACCGATCACCTAGAATTTCACCATGGTGATAGTTGTAGACTAGTAAAGTTGATTATGAGTAGTGTGCGATGACTAACCAATCACGTAGAATTTCACCATAATGATAGTTGTAGACTAGTAAAGTTGATTATGAGCAGTGTGCGATGACTAACTAGTGGTACAAGTTGGTTGCGGACCTAAATTGAAATGCAAACATGAATAACAATATTTGCTCATAATTTCTATTTTCCCTCCTAATTCGATTTTAAAGTTTCTATATTGTTGAGGAACTTCAAATTTTTATTGATTATTTCCCCATATACATGATTTTCTTGATTGTACCGTTCTTTGTGTTTGACATTCACACACCCCATTTTAATTTTTTCTACATGGTAAAGTTTTGTTTTACTTTGTTTGCTCAGGTATGCATTTCCATGGTGGAAAGAGAAAGAGATTGTATCTGATGAGAAGAGATCCCAAGGCTTGTGTCCCCTCACACCGGAGGAGGCAACTTTGATTCTACAAGCATTGGGTATTGAAAAGGATATGCAGATTTATATTGCGTCGGGTGATATTTATGGCAGTGAACGAAGACTTGCTACACTGAGAACTGCCTTTCCAAAGATCGTAAGTGTTAATTGTTTTTCTTTTCTTTTTTTGCGGGATTATTAGGAATATAGATCTCAAGATTAAATATATTAGAAAACATTTGTCGCAGTTTACTGTATTAGGATAAAAACAACTTTTTATTACTTAGCAACCTAATTGTATGCTCTCATATAATTGGTAATCGTTGGTGAGATGAAAATCAAAATTTTATAACTAAATATGATTTCTAGCAAATTTTAATAGAAATTGTGACATCAAAGATTTTTGAAAACTCTATTTTGATAAATTGTTCTATAGATTGAAACCTTAGTAACGATAGAGAATTGTGTGTATTAAAGTTAAGTCAGAAAAGTATGATAATTAGAAAAAAATGATACAATTGGCATGCCAATAAAGTTTTGGAAATATGGCAGAGAGATAGAGTTATAAAACTTTGGAATAAGTGATAGAGTTTATACTTAGAAACATTATCTAGAGTGACTCAATAAAATTAATAGCCTAACATCAATTTTTAATAAGAGGCATATATTTTTTTCTCCATGTTTTTTGTTTAGATTATAATAGTATTCTTGAAAAACATAAAGTTTTTAACTTTAATAATCTTATTGCTTATAGTTTATATTAGTAAGGATTAATAAGATGTTGGTCATTTGTTTGCAATACAATCTGTTGGATAATATTATATAAAATTTTATTTACTAATGTGAAGATGTGAGTAGTTTAACTCAAAATTCTAAAATAATATCTTCTATAAAGAGTAGACAACTTTCTCTATTACAATTTTTTGTCTAAATTTTATATTATTTAAGCAAAAATAAAATCATAAAGTTTATAATTTATTAAAACTTTTGGGCACTCAATTTTTTTGTTGCCTAAAGCAAAGGCTTCATTAGCCTCCCCTTGAGCCACTCCTGGACATCATAATATCCATAAAGACTAATTTTATGAAAAAGTCATGGCAAAACTTTGGAATAGAGAATAGAGTTCAAGACTTAGGGACATGATAATGATGATAAAAAATCAATTTTAATTTATGCTTAGTAGATCCTTAACAAAGACTAAATTTTGTTAGGATGGTTGATGAATTTTTATACTGAGCAGTAGAAGGATCTTCACATGATAACTATATTCACAAGATTGAATGCATAAAAATATAGATATGAAGATGAGTGTTCAATTACAAAGATAGATTGGGTACGATGAGAGACGATCACATTCAGTAGAGGATGCATGTAACATACATAGAGGATATGATGAGAGAAAGTAGTCTATTTAAAGTTAAATGTTTGGCTAAAGTCTTAAGCTACCCCCTAAACTTGTCCGCATCTTTCATTTTGATGCTAGAACTAGGACTTGTTTCTATTAGACACTTACAATACTAAAATTGTCCTATTAAATACTTTTTGCTGACATGACATTGTGTGGGTAAAACACCTAAAAGGGGCGCGTGAGAAATAATTATTTGGTCAATTTTTTTCTCCTCCTCTCCATTCTATCTTGCAAATATTTTGTAACCCGACACTACCCTTCTCCTTTCTTTTCTTTTTCTGGCTACCTCATCTCTTCTACCACCACCGTCATTTTTCTTCAAATTTACTGCCGCCGCCACCACACCACCTTCTTTGCCGGAAAAAATGGAGTCCACGACCACAACTCCTGTCTCTCCCATACTTCTTGATATCTCGAACCTATGTGCCCACAGGAGTTGGCAACAAGCCTATAAGCGATATGAATTAGTCAGGATTAAGGATTAGCATTGTTACATAGCATTGGGGCGACATGGATGAAATGGACTTTATATCGGAAACTAAACTCCAAGTCAAGGACTTTATATGCAAAATGGTATAAATATAATTATTTGATTTACTGCCGGGTTATCGGTTAACCCGTTAAGAAAAAACATCAAACCCCAATGAGTCTCATTACTGATAAACCAATAACTTTTTTTTGGTTCGGGTTACCGGTTTCGGTTTTGAAAAACCCTAGTTCGCGGAGGGGTAGGTCGAAAAGATATTGGAGAGAGGTGATTAGACAAGATACGACACAATTTCATATTATCGAGGATATAACTTTAGATAGGAAGGAATGGAGGTTGCATATTAGGGTAGAAGGTTAGTAGGGATAGAGTGTTGTCTTGCCTTGTAAGACTAGTCGTATCGTTTTAGTTCTTGCTAAATGTTGTTTGTTGTATTTCGATTATCACTCTATTTTGTTGTTATTATTGCTTTTCTTTTCTTATTGACCGTATGTTTTCTTCTTTCTCTTACTTGGGTTTGATGCTTCTCTACTACCTCGAGGTAGTGGTAAGGTTTGCGTACAGTCTACCCTCCCCAGACCCAATTTTGTGGGATTTCACTGGGTATGTTGTTGTATTGTTACACTTACAGTAGGCCTGATGTTTGTCAAGAATCTTTTATTTTGGTAAGAGACTTGTATATTAGTGTAGGGAATAGAACCCAAGGGTGTGGCCTAGTGGTCAATGAAATGACTTGAGAATCATCATGTTTCAGGTTCAGGTACCAGTAGAGGCGAAAAACACTAGATGTTTTCTTCTCGTTTGTCCAAACATCGGTGGATAGAGTTACTCGGCACCTATGTTGATGGGATGTAGCAGGTGCTGCAAGCTAATCTAGACACCACGGTCATCGAAATAAAAAATATTGGTGTAGGGACTATTTTTGGATGAATGGAAATGAATTACAGAGAATCTATATAACCGACCAAGCTATTTTGGGGTTGACGGATAGTTGATTGCTTGCTTGATTTGTAGGTTTATTGTTCTGAATTTCATGCACTGTTTAATGCTGCAAACTCCAACTTGGCTAATTCACATGCAATACTGTAAACCGTTAGCTGATTCTATCTTCATCGTTTTGACCATTACATCCAATTAATATATCTCCGATTTATGTTTATGTTGCAGGTGAAAAAGGAAATGTTGCTTGATCCCGAAGAGTTGCAGCAGTTCCAGAATCATTCATCTCAAATGGCAGCACTGGATTTCATAGTATCAAATGCTAGTAATATATTTATCCCTACTTATGATGGCAACATGGCTAGACTTGTCGAAGGTCATCGTAGGTGCATACGATCTACTATTTCTGTTTATATGTTCCTTATGTGTATCTTGAACGTGTTCCTGAATAGATCTGTTGCAGGTATCATGGTTATAAGAAAACCATCCTATTGAATCGCAAAACTTTGGTAGGGTTATTGGACTTGCATCACAACCGGACCCTTTCATGGGCTGAGTTTTCAGCTGCTGTGCGACAGTCGCACGAGGGAAGAATTGGACAACCAGCTCATCGAAGAGTTATTGAGGACAAACCCAAAGAAGAAGATTACTTTTATGCAAATCCTCACGAGTGTCTGTGTGAGAGTGCAACATGTGAAGGTCTTGATAATTCAACTGAAGTTCGATGAGACATGTCCACCAAGATCATGACTTGCATATATATTCGGTTCCACAGCCTAATGCACAGTCAATTTTTTATAAAGAAAAAAAAGCCGAAGGCTTAAATTTTTTCGTTCATGCGTCGAGATTCTTTAGAGAAAGGCAAAAAGTGTGGCCTTTCTTAGTCGCGGGGACATTTAGGAGATGAGTAATTCTTGAGATTCAACATGAGAAGGAAGGAAGGATTGGTGCCATCCGCGCTTCTTCTTACTATTGAAAGTAGTTGAAACTTTGAAGCTCGTTTTCTTGCATTCCTTTCAATTGATTTTGAGACTTTTAGCTATATAAAGTTAGGTGATTTTCTAGTAAATACATTTTATTCTTTGTAAAGGGAAACCCCATGACCTTTGTGTGTTTGCAATTGTCTAGTTTTAGGAATCAATAATCAGTGTTGCAAATGCTACTCAAACCCCCCCCCCCCCCCACCAAAAAAAAAATAAATTAGTAAAAAAA